GACTGTTTGAAGATGACAAGAATTAATTACAGCATAGGTTTCCCACATAAGCGACGAAGGGGAGTCCTGCTCCTCTGCCGTACTGGCAGAGGGCTGAGATGAGACATGACACTCATGCGTGTTCCATGGAAGCGACTCCTTGAGTTGATGTTCTTATTATTTTTGAACACTTTAATTTCAAGTTTTATACATCAGTGCGGTCTCAACAATGGTATTTGGCTACAACAAAGTATATTGTCCATCTTATTTTAAGTTAGTCAGAGATGTTCAGAAATAATTAAAAACGTAATTTCTTGCGCAACTCGATCAATAGCCATACACTAACTAACATCAGTTTACAAGCGGCACCGATAGTTAACTTATAAAGCATAATAGAGCACATTACGCAAAAGGCGACAGACACGAGGGACACAGATGAGACATGATCCATAGGTAGCAAGGAGTAAGATGTATCAATTGGTTTTAGATGCTTTGAATGAACTGTGGACATATTCTAATGGGTACAGCGGGAGTATTGAGAATCATGAATTCGAGGCGATTCAGTGTCGAGTGTGCATATATGCATATGTTTTGAAGAGAGCTGTATCCATAATCATCAGTGTCATGTCCATCATCCCAATAATAGGATGCTTTGATATACTTTCTCAATTTCATCAAAGAAACAAATATCCTGGCGGCATGGGGGGCAGGTGCTTTGTCTCGTGAGCGCACGCCATATACGATCGTCAATAGAAGGTTTCACGAACTATTATCACCCTGTTTTCTGGCTCAACTCGCACCCTTCATGTATTATTCAGTCCACTCACACCCTCTTCTTTCTTGGAGATTGAGCGATTAACATACTCATAGATAACACCGCCACCTATCGAGAGTCCTTTCACGTACTGAACTTGCACCTCGTATATAAGTGCGGAGGTAGGACATGGCATTAAATCAACGAACATATGTTTCATTGCGGAGGCCCTGAATGGCGTCCTACAACACCACTACTCGGGTATCTCGAACACCATCCGTTCCGAACACCCTTACCTCAACACACTCACCCTTTCACAAATGTCTTAAGACCTAATGATTTATATTCAATAATTGTGTATAACTTACTTTATTCTTCTCAGTTTCTTTCCGTTTCTGTCTCTGCCTACAGGGCGGTCCGTCGTTTTTCCGCTTTGATCCGTTGTTTTCCTCTTATGCCTCCAGGCGGCGCTCGATGACCTCTCCCCGCACTGCCGGGGCTCTTCTCCTTACATACACGTCACACAGCCCCTGCGCTCTTTTAGCAGCTAAGATGCGGGGCAGCCAAAGGTGTCAGAGAGAGCTCACATTTGGTCAACAAGCGCGCTGGACACGGAAGCCGCCTGTCTCTCTACACCCTCTTTTTCAAACTATGTCGTCTACCGCACCCCTTCTCTGCCGGCTGTGAACCATGTGATTACCCCGCCTCGCTCGCGCCTCCTGTTGACAAGCATCTTTTCGCGAGGTTGCGGGTTTCAGACCCCTCAGTTCTGCGCTTCAGACTTCACCGGCCGTCTCCGCTTTCTCGTCTTTTCCACTTGTCGCCCTTCCCCTCGAATCCTACTTTGTGTTTCTGGAAAACATAGCCTTCTCCTCGCTTCTCAAACTGCTCGCCCGCACTCTTCGCCGCACTTCTGAAAGTGGCACCTTACCTTCTCCTCATCAAGCCTCCGTGTCAGCTTTCTACCAACACTTTGATCATGGACAATCGTCCTGCTGTCCCTGCCGAGCCATTCAAAGAAGCGCGTACGCAGGCTTCTGCAGCCTGCTCTTGTACACACTCCCATCTTTCTTTACTCACACGCAACCACCCCCTGAACAATCAGCCCTGCACCGGAGGCGACCGCTTCTCTCTCCAGCCCTCTCCTGCCCAAGCACCTTTTCTTGGACCTTTCCGCTGACGCGTCGCCCGCATCTTCCGAGATCGGCGCTCGCCGCACTTACCATTCTACCTGGACGCGCTCTTATCTGAGCGCCGCCGCCGCGCGCGGCGCGCCGCGCGCCGTCTTCCGCTCGGTCTTTCGCTGGCCAGCGTGCGCGGTGCGCTTTGCGCAACACCTCACTCCTTCTCGCCTGCGCGCTCCTTCTCCTCTCTCGATCCCACCTCACCAACACCAGGAGGAACAAAGCAGCAAGAACTACACTCATTGAGGCCATTAGCTCCAGCGATTCAGCTGGCAGCTAACGCACTGCCAGAGCAAAAAGTTATATATATACGCCTGCAAAGGTATCACAGACCAAATACTACAGCAAAAACATCCAGAAACTATCACCCCACCCCACACACTTCTCAGCATAAAGCCCCAACGGAATCTGAGTACAACACTATCCATCAAGAGCAATCAAACCCAAACTACGTACCGACCATCACAGCGTAACTGACAAATGCCATCCCGATAACACACGATTCAACTACAACTGAAAAAAATACACACACGATCTCTATGTAGCATACACGATAAGACACAATAGAGCAACAATATAACAGCAATCAACACCACAGCCTACTTATACGAGGCAGGAAGCTCATTCTTCCTGAGACACACGTTTATAAGAGCTTTGAGCTAGTAAACCCTAACCCCAAGACGCACCTCAAAAACCAAATAAACGCTGAGTTGCTGATACGACAAACCCGACCAATGCAGAAGCCTCCTTTCACGCCTTCTTTGAATGGCTCAGGGCCAACAGGACGATTTCATACTCACCACGGTTTGGTTTTTGAACTGACCCCGGCAGGCCTGAGCGATTAGTCGAGGGGTATAAAATGCCACTTGACAGAAGTGCTGATATCTATCACACTTGGCTTCATTGCAGTTTCTGTGGAGACTCATGTAATTGAATTTCATTTTTTCCCAACACAAAGTGAGATTCAGGTGAAAGGGCGACACTATTTGATCAAAAGAAAAGCTTTAGATGACTTGACTCTTTGGTAAATTCTGCCCAAGCCTTCACACTGGACTGGTCTTGAAACCACCTCACTCTCAACAGCTGCTTTCACCAGAATCTCACACTGCTCTTTTGCAAGTCAATCTGTTTCACCCCTTCAAAGAGATTGTGTGCTATACCTACGCTACTTCTGAAAAGACAGGGTCTAGAGAGACAGGTCGGCGCTCTTTGTCCAGCCGCGCTTTGACCAAATGTACTCTCCTGACACCTTTTTCTGCCCATTCTTAGCTGCTAAAAATGAGCCCGTGGCTGGAGAAGGAGGAGAGGCCCGGCCGCTGAGGGACCAGCCAGCTGAGAGCGCCAGGAAGGCTCGAGGAACAACGGATCAAAGCGGAAAAACGACGGCCGCCCTGGAGGAAGACAGAAAAAAAACTGAGAAGAATAAAGTAAGTTTACACCAATTCATTGAAATATAATCATTTCTATCCAGCCTTGGTTGTATAATGGTGATAATTGATACCCAGAGGCAAGGGCTGTAATTTCGTTGAGAAGTGCGGGGACGCAAACAGGGGGTCCTCCGCAATGAACATTGTTCGATTTAATTCCATTTCCTGCCTTTCTACAAATATATATGAGGACTATGCGCGTCGTTAACCTAACTCAAGAAACCAAGGTGTACGTGTATATACATGAGTGTGGCAACTTATCTATCCATGAACCTGTTTCTATCTTGTTGACGACTCGACATCCTAGTAGGGGTGTCGGGGGCATGCACCCCCCGTACGATCTGTCTTCTTTACAATTCGAAGTTACAAGCATCAATCTGTGCACAAATGAAGTAGATCTATGCGATACACAGCTCTCTCACACTCACTATCAACCAGAACATGTATATAAGTTTCAATTACTCCACAAACCATTGAATCAGTGCTCACAACCAATAACACATCATTGAATGACTCCTCTCTCCTATCATGTATGCTTACCTAGATTGCTTCTTTCTTTTTATTTATGCATATTTTACTAATCACTCCCCTTTCAAACTGCTGGTTTTATTTTTTGATGACATATGGAATTATTTTTTAACTTATTTTGAACAACTATATTAAATAGATGGAAATATTTGTTTAGACCAAACCGTTTGAGACCCACTGAGATAACTTAGACTAAAGTTTACAATATAATCACTCAGCGAGTACTTTACCTCCCTGAGCTGATGTTATCTCAGCCTCTCAGTCTGACAGGAGAGAGCTCTCCCTCTCCTTATTGTTGAAACAGCTTCATAATCTAATCTCCGAGCTAGCACCAGATGCTAACAACAACCCCCGTAACTCTCTCTCTCTCTCTCTCTCTCTCTCTCTGTCTCTTTCTCTGTCTCTCTATCTCCCTGTCTCTCTCTGTCTCTCTCTCTCTCACACAAAATGCGCTCCTGCCACACACACACACAGATGCTCCTCCGTGACGATGACCACTTGCGTAAGTGGTCATCGGGGGACACAAACGGGATTTTGAAAAGTGGGGGGGACATGTCCCTCCTGTCCCCAGTGGAAATTACGCCCATGCCCAGAGGTGTCATTTCAATGCCATCCCTCACTGGAATGGGTGCGGATCAGGGTCAGTAGCAGATGAGAGGACTTCAATTCAAGGACACCTAATAAGCCAAACTGGGTGCTTGAATCCAGGCTTTTATAAGATGAAGGATAAGCTGTTCCTCCCACTTGCCTTTGATGCTTTAGACATTTCAAATAACTGATATCTGTCTCCGTGTCTTTTCCAGGAGCGCTATGAAGCGGCCATCCACAGGTCAACCAAGAAGACGTGGGCAGAAATCCGCCAGCAGAGATGGTCCTGGGCCGGAGCGCTGAGCCAGAACTCCAGCCAGAAAGAAAGTGAGTACACTGAAAGATACCTGGAGGACATGCTTTTAATCACTGAATAACAACTGACACATTTAGCTAATGTGAGGCAGTGGATGGAAGTTATCCTGCTGGTATCGCTGCAATGTAGGATTTTTTAACGTACACCTAATCTGTCTGTTGGGCTATTATTTGTCCAGTCACACTCCTCTGCCTTAAGGCACCATAGTCTGGCTGCCACAGCTCTTTCCTAGCAAGCTAGTAGCTACTTAAACATTACTTCACTATTGATCGCATAAAGTGAAAAACATATTGAGCTGCTTTATTGCATCAGTTGCAGTAAGCATGGTTGGAGCAGCAAATTGAATATGTTGTCTAATAATTCAGTGACTGCAGAGGTGAGGTAATCCTGTAGAAAATATGTTTTAACAGTTAAGCTTGATGGATGCTTCTGCCCTTTGTGCCATCCCCCCCCGACTTGAAGCGCTAAGTCTGAAGAGTCCTGACTTCTACTTTGTGTCACGTAATCTCCTCTGCCATATGCCAGGGGAATTATTGACACTCTAATCAAACTTTCTCTGCCTCCCTCCCTCCCTCCCTCACCAGCAGGCCGTCCGTGGGATGATGAAAGTAAACAAGCGTGTGATGAAATAGTTTTAGACCTCTGGATGTTATTTAGGAAATGTTCAGTTCCCGAAAAGAGCATACTGCCTTATTGTCTGTTTAAATGGAGACATGGAAAAAGCGATGGGTTAATGCTTTAATACAAAACCTCCATTACAGTGATGCTCTCTGAATCACGTCTGACGACATTTGGAAAAAGAAGAGTGTTCATTTGATTGCAGTGTATTAAAGGGTTATATCATTGGGATAGATGCAAGTATTGCACAAGGATGCTCTCGAGGGTTCAAGGTTTTGCCAGCTTACATCCCCCACCATCAAATGAGTTTCATTTTCCAATGACTGGTTTGGTTGTTATGGTTATTTCGAGTTTTATTTTCCCTAGTGCTTGATAGCTTAGAAAGGTGGACATAAAACGTTCTCTTTAGTGTGATGGATATGTTTTTGGGAATGAGTGTTTTTGTGAAGTAGGTAAAGGTCTTTGTTAATGTTTCAAGTGGGAGTTTGAAAAGAACCTTAAAGGATCATTTCCCACAAATGACATAAAAGCTATAATACATCAAATGTTGCTTGGTGTGCTCAGATCTCTTAAATTGACATGAGCTAATATTTTTGAAAACAAAGTTGCCCTTGTTACTCCTGATAACGATGGAAATGAATTTTAATGGAACATTTCCAAAGTTGCAGGTACCAAAATCTAAACCACATTGACATCAGTTGTATTTAAGGTGTTGCAAAAAAAACCATTCTCTTTGTTATTGTTAATTCTATATACATAAAGTATAGAGTTTATTCTGTAAATATCAAAAATAGTAACTGATAATGTGTGTTTTTTGATGAACTGTCCCTTTTAAAAAAACACTGCTTTTGAGGCCTTTAGAAACATTAGAAATAATCTCTGACACGTTTTATGCCATAGATGCCTGACTTCCCCTTAAGGCTAACTGCAGAGAACATATGGTGTACCGTGTGCAGTGGAAGTTATTACACACACAGTGAGCACACAGGAATGTGCTTGAATGGGGGTTGCTCTGTAAAGCTCACATTACAATTACTGTTGCCATTACAGTGTGTGTGGGTGTATGTTTGTAGAGGCATCATTCGAGCGTAACACGTGAGGCCACAGAAGTTCCCCCCCCCCTCTTCTTCTCAACCATGTGTGAACATCTGTGTGGCGCTCTCTTGGCTTCCTAGGCAGATGCTCACTGTCAACGGTCAACCTGCCCAAACACGTGGACTCTGTTATAAACAAGCGACTGTCCAAGTCCTCCGCCACGCTCTGGAACTCGCCCAGCAGAAGTAAGAAAAACATCTGGAACGCCCTCCCTCCCGTTTAATGTGTCCATCACACCGCCAACGCCAACACCTCCGAAACCCGTCCATCATTGTCCTTTCAGTTCTTCCCCTTCCTGTGCTTGATGGTTGGCAGCTGACCCATTTTCACCTTCCCAAACCTCTGAGTTCTTTTTCATTTGGGTCGTGTTGTTTTTTTTGTTATGCATGGTCATTATGGGTTTTGTGTAATTTTCGTATTTTGTCCTGTTGTCTTTTTGACTATCGTTTGGTTGGTTCATTGTGTGGTTATGGTCATTTCATGTCTTTGTGCAATCAAATGGATCCTTTTGTGCTCATTTCCATCAAACAAACTGGTTATGGCATGTCTTTTATATTGTCTTGAATGCTATATAAGTTGATATTATGGACGTGGGTGTGATTCCTTGTTGACACATTTCTTTGATTCAAATTTGCCTCTCTCAATCAACCTTCTCTTCATGCTACGGATGAGTGCAGCTCTTTTTTGTACAGCTCTTAAGTTAACCAGGTCACAGTGTACTCCTGCAAATAAGGAGAAACTCGGGGACTTGAAAAAAGTAAATTCAGTGAGTGAGTCAGCATTTTCAGGAAATAATGTATTCTAAAAACTCCCCGGAGCAGGTACTGTTCCTCTGTGCTGCTGGAGAAATATAGTCGCTTCCCTTCTCTTCCCAAATGAAATGACACACCATGTCATTGTGGAATCATCTTTATTCTACACCCTAAAGCCAGAGAGGGATCTTCATACCCCAAATAAATACTGATGAGTCTCCACTGCTCTTGCTCTCATGCTCAAGGCTGTGGTTATAAATAACTGACTCAGCGTCTAGACAAGCATGTTGAATAAGTTTCTCTCTTGGGTGGCAACAATACGTTATAGTAGACACATTTACTGCGCTCACTTTCTCTCTCCTATAATCTGTTTGGGTGGTGCTGAGATGTCTTATTGGGGTTTCTTTTGTAATTGATTGGGTCGTTATGGCTTGTAGATATACTGCTGCATCAGCTAAAACAGGATTAACCATTTCTTTTCACTTCATTTTGGTGATATTATTAAGACTTGATCACTGTGTCTGGGTAATGAAGGAGTTATATGCATAGATCAGAACAGAGGACTTCAAGTAAAGAGATGTATTAAAAAACATTTATCAATCTTCTTTCTACCTGCAGCACGTAGCCTTGCACTGAGTCCCTGGGAGAGCAGTATAGTGGACCGGCTGATGACGCCAACGCTGTCTTTCCTCGCCAGGAGCCGCAGCGCTGCCAGTGTCCTCACTAACGGCAAAGATGGTAGTAAGTTGAACAAAAAGATAGGAACATTAGCTTAATAGCTGTCTTACTGTTAGGTCACCTATTATGCAAAATCAACTTGTTGGTGTCTCTTCTACATCAACATGTGTCCCCTCTGTGTAAAGAGATTCTGAAAGTTTCAGTAAAAAAGATTCTCTCTCTTTTTGTCCTGATCCATTTCTATAAAAACCTGTCTGAAAATGAGCTGATCAGATTTTCGCCACTTTATGATTATGATTTTTTGGCTTGTGTAACCATTACGGCCCGTCCACACACAGGCATGAGCTTCGCCCATTCACTTGAATGGGGTGACGTAGAAGATTTGTAATCTTTGCCGAACTGCATTGTGGGGAGCGGAGCATGGCTTTGCAAGCATCGTGAGCATCAAAAGTTGAGCAATATTCAACTTTTGATGCTCCCGATGCTTTCGAAGCTGGCATCAGCCAATCAAATCCCGTTTATGGCAAATCGCCAGTAACAAGCGCTAGCCAATCAAACCGGCGTGCAAGCTGGGAGAGCCAGACCGCAGTTCATTTCCTCATATTCCAAAACGAGATATTACGGGTAGTAATCACCCGGTTCTTTACGACCGAAGACTTTTTTTTATTTACTGGAATAAAACCGGAGGAAGCCAGGCATGGAGGAGGTGGCAGAGACAGTGGGGTGAAAACTGGTAAGTTTTCGCCCCGTTTGGGGGAGTTTATATCTCCAGTTTACTTAGTTTTTAACATTGCTATTGCTTTGTAGTCGGGGGCGGAGATCATGTGATTGGTTGTTGTCGCGTTGCTCGCAAAAAATCCGCCAAGCTTCAGACACGCCCAGCATCAAGATTTTTCAAGATTTTTTTCATGCCTGTGTGTGGGGGCGGTAGCAATCACCAACCAAGGTAAACCCCCCCCCCCCACCTATCACCTGAATCTCTTCCTAGAGCAAAAAAGCACGCAAATTTGTCTTTTTAACCAAATCTCTCTCCAGAGGGGCGTGGGGGAGGGCTCCTTCTTTTCATCTAAAGTAACAGACACAGAATCAGCACTTTTGAAACAGGGCTGAAACAGAGGGGATTATGGGATGCTGCAATGATCTGTTTGGTATTTTGAGTCAAATACTTCAGAGACATGTTTTGTATATATCTGAGACCAATAATATATTGATGAAAAACAGTATAAAAGGGAACCTTTAATGTTTAAATACAGCTCATATGTGGAGGTGAGCAAGCTTTAATTATACATCATTCTGCTCCACAGACTCTCCTCTTTGCCCTCGTTCGGCCTCAGCCAGTCCCCTCACCCTGTGCGCCCACCAGCCCCACCACCGCTGCTCCGACCGCTGGAGAGTGACGTCCAGCACCCCCGACATCACCCAGCGCCAACCCAGACGGAGCTCCACACCTGTACGTTTGCCTATCTAGCTTTTGCCCTGTGGTTTCATTCAGACTTACAAGAGTGCTGTTATCTATCAAGAGTCTCGGGAAATGGAAGCCATTTTCCAGTTTAAAAGCATAACAGTCATAACATTTATAACAGCACATTATGTTTCTACGAGTGGTTTTACTATTCACCTGGATCCCACTGAAAGTTTAACAGCGAGATTGTTGGATTGTTGTTAAGAAACTATTGCCAAGAAAGTAAAACATGGCCCCGGATCAGACTTCCTCTTTTCCTGTACTCAGTGTATAAAAACCTAACGTGTACAGTATCTTCTCTTATTTGATTTTTTATAATAATTTCATGTATTTCATAAATGCACATTTAAAGATTAAAATGTGTTAACCCTTTTTTTTGTTCATCCTTTTGTCATACAGATGGATAAGAACAAGAAAGAAAAGAAAGACAAGGAACGGGAGAATGAGAAGGAGAAAAGTGCTCTCAGTAAAGTGCTTAAAAAGAGACAGTCTCTACCAAGCATGAGACACCGAGCTGATCCAAGGTAAACATACCGTTTATTTATACAATTCATCTTTGCTTGTAGTTCATTTCAGTTTAAAATCTGGCAATCAATCCACATTTTTTTTTAATTGCATGTACAGTAAATAAAATGTGAGATCAATTGCAACTATTTGAATTTTTTTTTTAAATGTCTGGTGACTTTGCATAGCCTTAAAACCATTCTAATAATCAGATGAATGATATTGTGTTTTTTAAATATTTTACACAGTCAAACGGTTGTAAACAAGGCTAACCTTACGTCCCCCTGACCCACAGCTTGTTTGTGTCCAACAGCTGGGGTCAGCCATGTTTACGTCTGCATTATAATGACTTCATATTTCATGCACTGTTTGAGCAAAGGCCTTGAGTGAAGGATTCCAAGACGAGTGGTCACTTCCTCTCCTATCCCCAGGGCACTGAACTAAATGACATCCATGACAGAAGGGATGGCAGAGGAGAGAAAAGTTCCTTTGGCTTGTCAGAGCTGTCAATGGCCTCAGTGCGAAAGGGCTAGAGGACAAAAACCTCTCTTTCAGCGTAAAGGACATGTTTCCCTCCAAGTGTTAGATGGCCAGTCTATAGCTGGGTTACTGACTCTGAATGCACTTAAAGGACGATGACGCAATGTTTTGAGAGCTTTGCTGCTAATAACCCGTGTACTGATGTCATGTTTCTCCAGGACATGCGTCAAACAACCTTTTAGCCCATATCTAGAGGACTTATGCGTCCAACCCGGTGTCAATTCATATGAGAATAACTGTTGATACATTTTCCATCATTCTTACAGTCCCAGTCCTTTATCAAGACCAAGACCCTCATCCCCCGCCACGCCTAAGGGCAGAGCCGGCTCACCCAGCCCGGCTGCCTCTCCCAAGCCTCCCTCAACACGTGGAAGTCCGTCGACTCCTAAAAGTCGTCCCAAAAGAGCCAGGACCCCTGCCAGGGTAGACCACCGCACCTCCTCTCCTGTCGCCCTCGAGAGAGTGAGGGAGCCTCGCAGGCCCTCTACTCCTGAACACAGAAAGAGTGAGTACAAAAGAGTTTTGATGGCGGTTATTTGACTGATTAGATTAAAAAGCTCAACCAGCTTTCTGTTCATGCTCAGGAACTAAACCCGTGTTTTGATTTCATTTGTTTGATAGTTTTAAGTGTTTAAAAGTCCCTGCTCAGATAGTTGTACTTTATGATGGCTCAGGTACTTTGTGAATGAAACTGGTTGTTGTTGTTGTTGTTGTTGTTGTTGTTGTTGTTGTTGTTGTTGTTAACCCTTATTGTCTGACTTGGTCTCTTTCTGTGGCTGGCCAGAAGAATAAATCTAATGGAAAAAGTGAACAAGCCTCGAGAAAATCTATATTTTTCTTTGAAGAAGCATTAGGAAAAGATGGCTATCATCAAGCAGGCCATGAATATAAAGGATATAATGAGTGAGCCACACACAGCTCCATGGTCTGTGTCTTCTCACACACTAAGAGGCTGCACTAATCAGCCTCATTATGTCATTACCCAGGCTGAAGCTGTGGCTGACTGTTTACCATTTCCAGTTGCTTGAGACAGAAGTGCATGTGAAGAGTGAAGGCTGTGGTTGCATGTGTTATTTATAATGATATTTATTTTTTAAGTCATTAATTGTAGGGAAGCATAAAGAATGGGATCAAAGCTTAGGTTAGGTTACACATCATAAGATCTGAGTATAACAATCACTTCCCCCTGTTTTAGGCTCCCCTGTGGTTCCTGCCATCAGAGTAGCTTCTGTCTCCCCCCATGTGCCTGGCACGCCAGTTCCAACCGCAGCAGCCTCACCGTCACCGGAGCCGCTCCATTCTGCTCCGTCTGTCTCTACGTCATCGCCTTCACCCTCTCCGTCACCCAAGCCCATGGCAGGCACCAACGACGCAGAGGAGGCGGGTCGCATCCTGGCCGAGAGACGCAGAGAGGCCCGAAAGCAGAGGGAGAGGGAGGAGCAGGAGCGCCGCGAGCAGGAGGAGAAGGAGAGGTCAGCGGGTTTAAATATGACTCCAAACACAACTGAACACAGTGCTGACTTTGCATAGTCAAATCTCTTTCAATGGCTTTCACTTTGCAAAAGATAAACGACATTTTATGGCCTACATTAGGTTTAATTCCAAAGCTGTGTTCCCACTTACGGTTTGGGTCTCTTAACTACACTCCACAGTTCTGAGAAACTAACTATATAACCATTATTAAAATTCACATTTGCCAAATGCTGTCCAAGGTCTTTGCTGTGGTTGTAACTAAATATTTGTAAAAGAGATTTATTGGCGTAGAATATTCGGCTTTAGCTTTTTTTTTATCCTACCAAACAAACCACACTGAGTACATATAAGTATTTCCCGTGTAAAAATGAAAACACGTGTGCAAAACTAAACAGGAAGGCTCCATGCACTAACACAGCACACGTATGTCAGAATGAGAGCTCACTCAATACTGGCTGTGATGTGTGAGAGCATGAAGAATTGGATAGCCTGTTGGCTGAGTGTAACCACAGCAAGTCCCTATTTACAGCTTGAGAACTGATGCGATCTGTTGTTGGCGCTCTTACTTCCAATTGATTCCATCTCTGGAAACGGTTTGGTCTCCGGTGGCTTCTGCTTTAATGCCAACTTAGCAGAGATGTAAACTAAAGAGGTCACCGGTACACGTCAATGGAATCATTTACATTCTCTGAGTGTTTACCCCATTCGAAGGGTTTGGCTCAGGATCTAGTGGAAAATACTTTCCCTCAGCGTTATGCCCACATTCCTTAGGATCCTGAGAGAGGAGAGAATGGCGAGGGAGGTAGAGGAGAATCGACTCAGGGAGGAGGAGGCCCGCGCCATGGCCGTGGAGCAGCGAAAGAGGGACGAAGCTCAGCAGCTGCTGGACGAGAAGGAGGCTGAGGAGAGGGCCAAAGCCGAGCAGGAGGAGAACGTGCGTCTGCAGAAACAGGTATATAGTTGACTGTCAACACTTAGCATGCAGAGAAAGCTGGAAACAAATTGTAAGTGAGGTGTAAACTTGGTTCAGTGGTCTAGTTAGTCAGATAAGAAGGAAAATGCAAGTACGTAAAGCCCATACTTAAAGCGACAAGCACCATTAAGCACTACTATGACATGTATTACCACCTTTTGAGTAAAGGTCAACACACATTCCCTTCTACATCATTACAAGGCCCATCACACCACTGAATGATACGCTCCGCTATCTTTGGCAAACAACGTTAGTGGCGTTTTTTTAAGAGTCACTTGTTTACCGTTCAGCTGCTCACCTCACTCTGACCTTTTTAGACCAGGCTGCTCCTGTCCAGTATTCTCTACGTCAGCGGGATGTTGTATTCCTTCAAGGGCAAATATTACTCAGAACTAATGAGCAGGTAGCTTCAAAGAAAGGGCCCTTTGTGTTTCTCAGTTTGTCAAATAGCCATTATAAACAATATTGACTCTGTGTGTTGGTGTTGCCGGGGAAACAGAGGAGATTAATACTTAATTAGTAGAAACTGATATCCACTGAAAAAGGCCGTTCATCACAGCATTTGCTTATCCTGTAACATGATCAGCGCCGGCACTGTCTTATCTCTGTGGTATCTACCACCCCCTTGTGGTCTTTCACAGTAATAGCATTTGTGGTTAAACATGATCTGATTATACTTATGCAAAGGCTCAAGTATTGTGTTTCGCTTTGAATTGTCCTCACCAGGCTGTAAATGTTGGAAATAGATCTCTTTTGGCTCGAAGGTATAGGAAATTATCTCCCTTGTGGTTGTAAACAATAATTGCAGAGAGCAACCACACCCTTGTTACGTTAAAGGCAGTTTTTTCCCCCCCCTTCTGCCGGCATTAAAAATGTGGTTGGAATCTCGCCTGTGTGCTTCAGAAAGAAGAGGCTGAAGCTAAAGCCCGGGAGGAGGCGGAGAAGCAGCGTCTGGAGAGGGAGAAGCACTTCCAGAAGGAGGAGCAGGAGAGGCTGGAGAGGAAAAAGGTAGGGCAACACATCTGGCTTGCCATCATTGTCTATCTGCAAGGTTTTGAAGTCACCCATGGCAAAGAAAAAAAAAAGCAACTTTCAAACATTTGAACCTTTTAGGGGAAAGTGCCTCATTACTGCTCTCAGAGTAACACACCATTAGAAGGAGAGCTTATTAAATAATGGATTACGTAACCAGAGGTATTATATTCTGGGGTATGTTCATTCTGTAGTCTGCCTTTCTCTGAAACCGAGATGAATGATGTTTCTGGCTCATGCTGGAATGGTTGTCTGCGTGCCATGATTTAATAGAGCTTAGACTGTGTGTCGAGCATGGAGCTATATATAAACACTAATGACAATGAAGAGCTCCCTGTGCCAGTCATCTGGGTGTGGATGTGTGCTGATATGTACTCATGACCATCTACTCAAGTATGCCACCCACATCTCCAGAAGGCCTCTGCATGCGGCCTAAGCCTTTCTTTCCCCCCCCTCCTCATCTTCTCTTCATGTGAGAGCCGGCTCTTATCGAGGCGTGCCAGATCTAGCTCAGCCAACCCGAGCCTGGCTCTGAGCTGGAATAAACCCACAGGAACAGCGTGTCCTCTGCCCCAAAAGACTGCTTTGTACTGTTCCATACTGTGCTACCACGAAAAACGGACTAGCCCACTCGTATTATCGCCTCGACAAAAAAAAAACGAGTTTGTTATCACCAGGCACATGTGGTTTAAAGTATCCTGAGAGGCAACTCAGCACATTTTTGGACAAAGAAGAACCTTTAGTTCTCTGTTTTGAAGCCCAACTAGATGCCGAAGCCATGAATGTGAGCTGTCCATGCATCTTGGATCTACAAAATGATTCACTTATGAGCTGCAGTTATGGTGTCCCAAGCTAACTGTGTGCTCAGATGAGGGTCGCAAACTTCTGTGTTCTGTGAATACAAATGACCTGCATACTGTGCTTTTGATAAAAGCAAAATCCTCCTTCCTACTGTTCACTGCTGGACCTTCACGCTGTTGTTCCAGCTGAATACACACACGTGCTGCCTCGTAATTATTGACACAGCCCTCCACCTACACAAGAGCCTCAGGTTTTACTTGGTGCATTGAATTCAAGCATAGATAATACAAGCCAATGCACAACGAAATGTGAAGCAAGGTGTGTGTGCTCAGTCCACTTGACCTAAAATATCACATTTGTGACAACTTAAAGGGGACCTATCATGCAAAATGCACTTGTGTACATCTTTTATACGTGAATATGTGTCCCCGGTGTTCCAGGGAACTCACCAAGTGTCAGAAAAACACAACCCTCTCTATTTTTCCTCCATACCCAAATCTTCTAAAAAGGGGCTGCCAACGGATCTGATACAGACTGATCCAGATTTGAACACTTCTATGACGTCACAGAAGTGGCGCTACGGCTATTGGGCCAACTCCACCAATCAGGGAGGAG